GCCGGCGGGGCGGGGCCGGGCGTAAAGACGGAGGGCGCGACAGGGCGGGCCTTGATTCTTATTCCCACCCTCGGACCAGGCATTCGCTGTTCTCAGAGGCCCCGGGGAAAGGCCGGTGCACTCTGCGACCTGCAAGGGTCTTTCAGGCAGGGGCTGCCCCCAGCCGAATTGATGACCCGGGTCCCGAAAAGCCTAGAAGCTGTAGTGTCTGGGACGGGCAGCGGCTCCCGTTTGGGGCCGGGAAAGCTGGGGCTCCGAGAAAGAAGGCAGATGGGGCCCTGCAGTCACCGCCGAGCTTCTGCTCAGGGCCTCCTTGCCCTCCACTGAACCTGACATGAGTTAGCTCACAGTCCGCAATACCCCTTGAGGTGAAATATCATTACCCTTTTCTCCTTTCATTGTGAGGGAACAGGTTCTGAACGGTTCCATGGCAAAGCCAGTTTGGTGCTCTTAACCTTTTACTAACATCGACTTCTGCAGAGACTTCCGGGCCCAAGATAACCACTGTTTTAAGGAAACCCCCGGCCTAGAGAAGAGGCCTCCCTCTGGCAATGGATCCCCATTCATTCAGGAACGAATGCTGAGCTCCTGTGCATGCCCCGACAGCGCTGGGGATTCGCAGTGAACCAGCGGGCCAGCCAGCCAGGGTCCAGCCTGAACGGAACTCTTTTTTTTTTTTAACATATCTTATTGATTTTTTACAGAGAGGAAGGGAGAGGGATAGAGAGTTAGAAACATCGATGAGAGAGAAACATCGATCAGCTGCCTCCTGCACACTCCCTACTGGGAATGTGCCCGCAACCAAGGTGCATGCCCTTGACCGGAATGGAACCTGGGACCCTTCAGTCCGCAGGCCGACGCTCTATCCACTGAGCCAAACCGGTTAGGGCCAGGAGGGAACTCTGAATGGGTGCTCCCTGAAGTCTGTGATAGGGTCCATAGGATGAAGCCAGCCCTAGAGAGAAAGGATTGGTCTGAAAATCCCCTCCCTTCCCCACCCCGTCAGGGACTTTACCTGGCTCTACCCTGCTCAGCTGCGGGAACATTGCCACCCTCCCGAGGAGACTAGGGCGCCAGGCTCACCTAACCGGCAGGCACATGATGTGTTCCCGACGCCAGGGAGACAAAAGACTCTTCCACTCAGGGCCCTCCGAAGAAATCAGAGGCCTACAGTTCTGACGGGACGGGCTGGGGCAGGGAGGCCAAGCAGCGTCTTGAGTTACCGGGCCTTTGTCTACCAGCAGTGGTATCCAGTGTCCGCCAGGTGCCACAGCTGATGAAGGAAGATGAAAGGACCTACAGCTCTTGCTTTTTTCCATAACACAGCCCTGCCCTCAACAACTGAGCCGCAGGTCTCCGAGGCAAGGCCCCCTGGAGCCCCT